TGTGACACTCGGGACCGTGACATCCGGTCTGTGCCACCCGGGACCGTGACACCCGGTCTGTGACACCCGGTTTGTGCCACCGGGTCTGTGACACTCGGGACCGTGACATCCGGGACCGCGACACCCGGTGTGTGACACCCAGGACTGTCCCCGCGGGCACTGAGTGGTGCCATCTCGTCACCAAGCCTGGGCATGGCACCCGCGCCGCCCTTGGCACCGCCCGGCCCCTGCGAACACGCCGGGTTTAAATTGCAGCTTTCTGGGGCTTCTCAAAGGAAGAGGCTGGAGCCCGGTGCTGCGGCAGCTCCTGCGCCCCAGAGCCCCCAAGTGTCCTGTGGCCCTGTGGCCCACATACCCAGTGTCGCCTCATTGCAGGGCTCCAGCAGCACCGCTGAACCCCTCGGCCCCACAGGCAGGACGGGACGGGGCGGCAGCTCCTGCTGTGATCATCTGCAGCAGTGAGGCTCGGCTGGTGGGAGCACAGGCCGCCCGCCTGGCCGTGCTCAGACACGTGGCTCTACATTTCCAGAGACACCCGTGGATTTTGAGTTCCTCCACCTGTCCAGCACTGAGTGCCTCCCAACCAAGACCTCCCAGCTCAGCAGCCAAGCCTTCAAGAGCTGTTTTGGGGTTGCCAACTATTTCCGGGTCAGGGATTATAATATTTTTACTGGGGCTGGGGGATGTATGTGGATATACTTTCCAGCAGGGATTAATGAACAAGGTGGGTATGAGTGGATGTGTGCAAGGCTGCAAGGTCAGGCCCACTGGAGAAACACTGTTATTCATGCTCTGATGCTGACCACTGTAAAATGGGATATAATTCCCTTCATTTAGTTTGTTTTGCCACAAAGTACTGAACTCTGGCTCAGCAGTGGGCCAGGCTCCACTCCTCCAGAGTGGGCAAGGAAAAGGGGCTGACCTGGCCCTGCCCCAGCAAGGTGAGCAGCACCAATGTGCAAAGGAAATGGATGGGGAGGATTAAAGAACAGTATTTTTCTCCCCACTTTGAGCCTCCTTTAGATCTTAGCTATTCCTTGTAATAATCACCTGGAAATTACTAGTCAGGAGAGTGGTTCCTGGGGTTATATTACCCCTTTAATCTCTCTGGCAGCGGTGCAGAATTTTAAAGGGGTTCCAGAATGAACAAGCACAAGACAGATTTTGCTGATGGACAGAAGAAACTTCGGTGCTGCTTCTTATGGCTCAGAAAGAAATTTGGATTGCTGTATATTGAAAGGAAATCTCCACTGCTATCCCTTCCATCAGCAAACGTTGCAGGTCAAATGGCTTTGGGAAGACTTTATCAGAACATTCTCTCCCCACCTCCCCCAGAGCTGAGGCAGGGTTCAGGGGAGTGGCCAGTTTCAACCTGTTAAGTCAGTTTTGCTCTTTCTCAGCACTCTGCTGTCACAGGAGAAGCCAAACCCATGGCACCAGGGATGCTCTGGGGACATGCTCAGCACCTGAAGGCCACGGGTGACAAACCAGGACCCTCTGTCCTGCTCCTTTGGCAGCAGTCACCAGCACCCAGTCCCAATCCCAGATTTTCCTCCAGCCCACTGAGAGTTTGCAGGCTTGCCCTCTGCTCTCCTCCTCTCCAGCCTCTAATGTTCATGCTAAAAATCCAAAATCCCAGCAGAATTTGTGAAGTAGCTAATGAACTGCAAAGCTGACATCTGTAACTGCTGGCCAGGGATAACCTTCTCCCTAGCTGCACAATTAAAAGTTGGAGCATTTAGTCCAATAACAAGGAAAGTTACTGCTATTGATTCAAACCAGCCCAGATCCTCCATGGTGACTCTGCAGGACAGACAAATTTGGGACGATCACCTCCTACTCTCATTAGTAGGTTTTAGCCTCACCAATTTCCTTTCCATTTTTACAACTCCCATTTCATATCAGAGACTGAGGTGCAGAGTTTGTTAAAATCAGCATTTATAAGGCCAAAATGACATGAGACCCCAAATGTCCTTGGAAAAATGTCTCTTGGTCCTGAGAGCCTGACTTCTGAAACAGAGAGATCTTGGGCTCCTAAACCAGCTGGGCATGGATTGGGAATGCTGTTCCAGGTAAAGAAGGGGGCAGGCCCCAATCTTCCAGGCTTCAGCCGTGCTCCTTGGACATCCCATCTTTGCCATGCAGCAATGCCCAAGGGCTGAATCCACCTCATGCTGCCTGGAGAATGAGTTCATCTATCTGGGGCTGTAGAAATCTGCATTTATGTTTTGTGTGCTCTATAAATTCAGTGTCATAATAAAAAGGATCTAAATCTTTACTGAATAATTCATTTTCATGCATAGGGAAGAAATAATGACCTATATTACATTCCATCTATCATTTAGCAGGTTGTGGAGATTGATCAGACGGTGGGTTTCAGAGGTCCCCAGTGAGGAGTAGAGCCCTGCCTGCTGCCCAGCTGTGGCTTCACCTGACAAACATTATTTAGATGGAATTCCAGGGGGTGATAGGCTGGGGAGCTGCCAGGAAGTCAAAGGTCATTTAAAATGCGGAATATGTCATTGCAAACCATTGATCTTCTTGGTGTGTCTCTGCCTCGGGCGTTACCCCAGTGCCTGCAGCACCCCACCAGGAGAGGGGCTGTGCCAGCCCTGCTTTGGAGGAGATGTGGCACAGGGGATGGAAGAGATGTCTTCAGGGTCTGTGGTGTCAGACTGGTCAGTGTTGTCTAGGCACCATCCACATCTCCAAAAAGCTGGGCAAAG